TGGCAGCTGCCCCCCCTCCCTCTCCGTGCTGGCACTGGAGCTCGTTTCCGCCTCCTGTTGCCTTTTTCCGTGGCTTTTTGGTTTTTTTTTCAGGAAAAGCCCCAAACCAGGGCTGAGCACATCAAAGGGCTGGCGGGAGCCCAGGGCAGGGGCAGGGGGAGCGCAGTGGGGTCCCCGCCAGCCCACAGCGCCCAAAATTGGGGTGTCCTCGGGGACACGTGGCCCCGCCGCGTGCCCGGTGCTGCCACGTGGGCCCTGGGATGTGGCCGGGGGAAACTGAGGCACGGGGCTGTGCACAGGCGTGCTCCCGAGCACAGGATATCCCTGGGAGTGGGGACACGGCTGCTGGGGACACGCGTGGGCAGAGTGGGGCTGGCAGGGGACAGTCCTGTCAGGGCCCCAAGCCCCAAGTCGGTCTTTGGCTGTCCCTGAGGTTGGGGACATGAGGAAGGACATGGGGACAGAGGGACACGGGACCAGGGAGACACGGGGGACAGGGTCTGGGGACACGGAGCCGTGGGGACAGGGTCCTGGGGACACGGGGTCCTGGGAAAGGGGAGAGGCGCAGGATGTGGCACCCCAGGGGCTGAGGACAAGGGCACAGCCCAGCTTGTCCCCAACCTCGCTCCGCTCCTGCCACCCCCAGAGAGGGGGGACACAGCGACCCTGAGCAGGCCCGGGTCCCCCCCGTGCCTCAGTTTCCCTTGGAGCCCTGCAGGGATGCAGAAGCCGAGCACATCCCTGTGATGAAGCCGCCCGGCCTCAGCCGCAGAAGGGGGGCCTGGCTCCACTCTCAATCCTTTTATTGCTTTTTTTTCCGGGGGGCAGGAGGGGCAGGCAGCTAAAAAAAGTGGGGGGGACACATTACATTAGCACTGATGAACCAGGCCGGGGGAGGGGGGCAAACCCTGTCCCTGAGTGCGGGGGGCGAGGCGAGGGCTGGGGGGCAAGAGGGTCTGGGGGAGGTGGAAGGGAAAACAGAAAGGGGGGGGGTCTCACCTTGACACCCCCCGTGAGCCCCAGAGCGCTCGGAGAGTCCCCCCATAATTTAAGACATAAATTAAAATGGCTAACGAGGAGCTGGGGAGCTGAGGGTGAGGGGGCTTGGGAGGAGCAGCACCCCACAATAAATATCCCCAGCGGCGCGAAGGAGGAAGACGAAGATGAAGGCGGCAAGGCTCAAATCTCCAACAAACTCCCGGCCTCGGGGCTGCCGCCGTCCTTGGCGGGCGAGGCGGGCGGCGGCCGGGGGGACGCGGGGGGCTGCTCGGCGCCGGGGGGCGGCTTGGGGGGCCCGGGGTCGGCGTGGGTCTTCTGGTGCTTGCTGAGGTGGTCGCTGCGGGTGAAGCGCTTGCTGCACAGCAGGCAGGTGAACTTCTTCTCGCGCGTGTGCGTCCGGACGTGGCGCTCCAGCTCGTCGGAGCGGGTGAAGCGCTTGCCGCAGAAGAGCCAGTTGCACACGAAGGGCCGCTCCCCCGTGTGCCAGCGCAGGTGCGCCTTCAGGTGCGAGGCTTTGCCGTACACCTTCCCGCAGCCCGGGATGTGGCAGCTGTGCACCGGCTTCCGCCGCGCCCCCGCCGGGCCCCCGAGCCGCTCCAGCTCCTGGCAGTTGGGGCAGTCGCACGCCGGGCGTCCCCCCAGGGAGCCGCCGCGGGGACCCTTCGGGGTCTCGCCCGGCGCGGCTTTAGGGGTGGGGGGCGCCGCGGGGGCGTTGCTGTAAGCAGGGGGGTTCAGAGCGCCGAAGTCGGAGCCGTAGGCGGGCAGAGGGGGGCTGAGGGTGGGCTGGCCCTGCAGAGAGCCCTGCAGCCCCTCGGCGCCCGCCGGCCCCCCCAGCCAGCCCCCGTTGGGGTGCACATCCCACCAGGACGGCGCCGCGGGCCCGGAGCCCCCCGGCAGCCCCCCGCCGATGCCGCCCTTGTACCAGGAGCCGTAGGGGTGCGGCATCTCCAGCGAGGGGTACACGCCGGGCAGGCACTCGCCCGCGGGGTGGCCCTTGGTCGCCACCACCACCGGGGCGCCCAGCACCTCCTGGGCGCCCGAGGGCGCTGGGAAGGGGTGGCCGAAGGGGCCGTAGTCGGGGCCGTAGGGGCCGGGGGAGGCCTGGGGGCTGGCGGACGGCGACAGCAGCCCCGGGGCGCTGGGGAAGGCGGCGGCGTAGGAGTCACCCATGGCTGCGGCGGCGGCACTCGAGGCGTGGGGGGCGGTCAGCGGGGGCACCCCGAGGCGTGGGGGGCGATGTCAGCGGGGGCTCGCGGCCATGGCACTTGGCAGCCTGTGGGAAAGGGGAACGGGGCTTGAAGGCTCCGAGGGGCACCGTGTGCCACGGGGTGACCCGTCCTGGGGGTCAGCACTGGGGTGTCAGCCCAGTTCGGGTGTCAGCCCCGCTGGGGCACCCAGCGGCACCCCCCAGGCCCAGGGTTCCACCCAGCACCCCCACCACTCCCCATCCCCTGTGCCTCAGTTTCCCCCCGCAGAGTTGAGGCCATCCCATCGCCCCCCAGCCCAGCATCCCCCCCAAAGGGGCTTCTCCAGGGGCTGCTGTGGGGTTGTGCTGGTGGCAGGGCCTCCCCCCGCCCCCAATCTCGGCTCCTTCTGCCTTTATGGCCTTTTAATCGAATTATGCTGTGGCCTCCCCCCTCCCCGGGTGACTTCCTCTGCTTTTATACCCGTCATGGCTTTCAGCTGCGCGGGCTGGGCCGGGGTGTCGTGAGCTGTCCCTCACCCCCATCACCCCCGGTGTTCCCTTTATTTATTTTTTAACTCATCTCTTCACCCACTTTGGGGCATTTCCACTTTGGCTTTTTTTTTTGTTTGGGNACTTTGGCTTTTTTTTTTGTTTGGGATTTTTTTTAGGGTGTTCCTCCCCTCGCCCCCCTTTCTTTTTTTTTTTTTTTTTTTTCCGTGGTTTTTGCGCCTATTTTTACGCCGGCCCCGGCCGTGGCCGCAAGCGCGCTCCCGGTTTTCCAAGGATAACAAGGGCCAGGCCTGTGCCCCGGGAACGCTGCCCTGCCGCGAGAGCCGAGGTAATTAAAACCAGGGCGAGCGGCAAACGGAGGCGCACGCTTAAAATAGTGTCAAACTCCCATAAATCAGCTCCGCTTGCGCCGGGAAATTAAGGAGCAGGGAAGGAGCCCCGGGAGCTGCGGGCTGAGGACGGCGTGAGCTCGCTGCACTGCCGGGGGTGACAGTCCCTTTGTGGCTCCTGCTGGGTCAGGGACCTTGACCCCTCCCATGTCCCCTCCCGGCGTGGGAGGGGTCCAGCCCCTGCTCTGGGGGTCTCCGGTCCCAAATTCTGGGTCCCAAATTCCCGGTCTCTTGTCACTTGTCAGTGTCCAGTTCTTGATCCTCACTTCCAGTTCCCTATTCCCTGTCCCCTTGTCCCCTAACTCTGCAGTTTCTTGGTCCCAAAACCCAGTCCTTGTCCTCAGTCCCAATCCCCAAATCCCATCCCTGGTCCCCAGTCCCCGGTCCGTGGCCCCAAGTGTCCCCACAGCCCTTGCCTCAGTTTCCCCCAGCCTGTCAGTGCCACCCTCTGTCCCCTGAACCCGAGGACACCTGGGCCTGGCTCCTGGGCGGTGGTGCTGTCCCCAGCCAGAGGGACAGCTCGGGGTGACAGGGGCACCCGGCACCATCCCCCCGTCCCTGTTCCCCCCGGGATGGCAGGGCAGTCCCTGCTGGGGCAGGGGACACACGTGTCCCCGGCACAGGGGGACGCTCGGGTCCCACACAGCTCCCTGTCCTTGGGGGGTCCCATATCCCGGGGGGCTCCCCCATCCCGGAGCGAGTCCGCCACGCTGTGGGTCGCAAATCCCGGGGTCCTTGTCCCAGAGCGGGGATCCCCCACCCCAAAGGGTCC